CACAGCTGCCTTTTAAAAGCACAAGAACATGTTGTAAGTAGTGATTTGTTCTCCCTTCCCTCTCCTCTGACATGAAATCCTTGCACTGCTTTTTATTGTTAAGAGGGGATGCAGGGCTTGTGTTAGCCCTCAAGGTGGAAGTTCTCTGATTATTTTTGGACTGGATAACATATGGACAACAGTAGTAGAGGTTTAGATTCAGGGCTTATAGAAGGTTTAGCTCCTTTGGATGACAGATGGCATATCAGCATTCCTGTAGGATGGGGTAGCCTTTGAAGGACACAGCAAGGATGTGCAACCCAGGCCCAGGTCTCCTGGTGGGTTTTCTTTAGGACACATTAATTTTTTGGCTCCTGAATACTGCTTTAGACAAACTAACATTGAAGGAAAGATACTGCAATAAAATAACTGTTTAATGTCCATGCCACCCCTTCCCATCTGACTCTTCTCTCCCATGTAGACCCCTCTGAGTTTGGAATCTGCTCTGGCCTTGGGATGTATATGTCTCCAAGAAATAACTCAGGCCATGAGCTGTTGGGAACCTGTGAGGACCAGTCACTTTCCTTGCTCATGCCTGAGGGTTCTCCTCCAGTCCGGCTGCTGGAGAAAAGAAGGAAGTCAAACTGTGAAGTTCCTTTGGTCCCAGTGCTAGTGGTGGGATCTTGGGTCAAGGACCTCTTCTCTGGGTTCTGTGGTCAGAAGAGAGTGGTGGAAGTGGAATAAATCCAGCCTGAGCTGAGGCGGAGGGGTGCAGCTCCCAGCAGTTACCTGTGCTGGTTGTGTCAGACCATCCCTGATGCAGACAGGTTCTCAGCACAGCTTCCAGTTTGCTGCTCTGCTGGGGAAAGACACTAACTACATATGCCATCTGACCGGCTAGCTCTCTGCTCTTCATTCCCTACTGCACCGAATGCCAAAAGTGTCCGGAAGACTATGCTGAGCCTAGGGAACTGAGCCCTGCTGGATTAGGCAAACACAGACTGGAGCCTCAGCTGAATCCTCTTTGGGCAGTAATTCTGATCACAAAATAAACAGTCAACAACAGCATGGCTGGGAGAAGCCAAAGCCATTCCCTGTTCAGGAATCCCAGCACTGAATATGCACAGACATTGTGCCCCCCCCTCCTTTCCCACCACACCTTCAGAGAGCACGTAACTCTTTCTCCTCTTCTGGACAATCTTGAGACTCCTAGTCCATTAAATCTCTTCTCCTGTGGAAGTTCCACCCCCGCCTCAACCACGTATCATTGTTACTGTCTTCATAGCCTTTCCTGAATTGGGGGTCATAATGATGAGTCCAGAGAGTGCCCCCTTGCTTCAGGGTGTGATGTTGCAGGGGCTTTCATCACCGTAGGGCTGTCTGTCTAGTCAGCCCTCCAGCTGAGAAGTGGCTAGTCCAAAGTGCTTTGGCGGTAACACCCCATCCTGTGCTCAACCTTTACGTGGAGTTCCACTGCCTTCCCCAGCTCTGCTATCCCACACTGGTCCACCCCGCCTATGCCATCCTGAAGGTTCTGTCCTCCAAAGGCCTCTGGTACATCAGCTCCCCACAGGAGCAAGCCAGCCAGCCACTTCTTCCCCAGACGGAGCACTCTCAACTTGTTTGTAAGGCCCAGGTGTCTGCTAGCACATGATCTCTCTTTCAGTCCTGCTCCTTCTAGGTGGTGTTTGGTCCTGCTGCGAGGGCAGAGGACTGGACTCAATGACCTCTCGAGGTCCCTTCCAGTCCTAGTGTTATATGCTTCTATGACAAGTAGCTATCTAACCGCTGCCCAGGTGGAGTGAATGTGCCCAAGTTAACTGTAACCTTGTCTCGCTTGCGACAGGGTTCCCCTCACACAGGGGTTAGTGGTAACATTTCTGAAAGATTGTTCCTAAGTCACTTAGATGAATCCTGTTTTCAAAAAGTGATGTAGGCACTTAGGACCCTATGTCCCACTTGCTTTCAATGGGAGTTAGGCTGCCAAGTGCTTGAATGAGTGCGGAAGATTTTAGCCGAGGAGACTAAAGTGGAACACGGTATCCCAGAGGACGCTGATTTATATTTTCTGTATTGTTCTACAATAATGCCTGGGAGGGAATACACGGGGTCCGGGTCCTGCTCACAGGTGAATGGCAGTGTTTGTTACATTCTGCACAGCTGCCACAGAAGAGCTAGTTTTCCCCGTGTGGCTTTGAGACTTCTGGCACAGTGATGGCGAGTGGGGTGCAGAGGCTGCTTGTGACATACACAGAAGAGAAGAAGAGTAAATGGGTAGACTGGACATGGCTATAGCGTTGATATTTGAGGTGAATGGAAGGATGTTGGTGAAGCTGGCTTGCTAAGCAAAGCAGTGGAGAAGAATCTGTGGTCATGCAGGTAGCCCATGGGCAGTGGGCACCTAATGTACGTGGAGAAATGCTTCTCAGACAACTAAAACAATTTAGTTTTGATGGACATTTTTGTACAATCCCTAATGCAGAGTGAAAAAATTACTGATGGGGCATGGCTGACATCACCGATGAAATCATCAGACCTAGCCCTTATATTGCTCTTTTTATCAGTCACTCTCAAAGCACTTTACAACGGAGGCTGGGGTCATTTATCCCCATTTCACAGATGAGCAAACTGAGACCCAGAGCAGTGAAATGATTTGCCCAAGGTCACTTATCAGGCCATTGGATAAACTGGGAATACAATGGAAAGGATGACAAGTATCAGAGGGGTAGCCGTGTTAGTCTGAATCTGCATAAACAACGAGAAGTCCTGTGGCACCTTATAGACTAACAGATTTATTGGAGCACAAGCTTTCGTGGGCAGAGACCCACTTCATCAGATGCATCTGACAAAGTGGGTCTCTGCCCACCAAAGCTCGTGCTCCAATAAATCTATTAGTCTATAAGGTGCCATAGGACTTCTCGTTGTTAATGTAAAGGATGTACTTGGATGGCGAGTGTGCAGGAAAATGGGGCAGAAGTAAGATTGCTAAGGTACCTTAACGCCTCACCTCCATATTTTTAATTATTGGGTTATTTTTGTAAAATGAAGATACCCTAATAGGGTTTTTAAATATATATTGATACAATCTTTTAACCTTAATCCTAGCTCAACCAAGCTTTTCCATCCCCCTGTGCCTCACATAGCTCTATATTTGTGTGAATTGATCTGACACACTTTGGTGCTGCATCAGAACGATGAGTCTAATGAAGCGTGTGCTGGACTCCAGAGAGGCCTTGGCAAACTCCTGGAACTGGAGTTCTGGATGTTTTGCTGGATCTGCCAGTGAAACTACTTCCCTCCAGCTTCCCCTGAGAGTTCTAGCAAACTCCACAGGGGATGTGTGTGTGCAGGGAAACTATCCCCCAATTGTAGCCGATCCTCAGTGAATAGCTAAGGGGTGAACTAAATCCTGATTTGGTGTGTTGGGTGTAAATGTTCATGCACAGCAGACATAGCATGCAGCACTCAAATACTTTCCTTTGCATAAACTCAGAGGGGCCTAGTTCCTGTACAGGGACCACTTTCTGTGACAGATGGCAAACTTTATAGAGTCTGACAAACTTTATAAAGGCTATCAGGCCTGCAGAAAAATGTAGGAAGGTTGCCAAGAGCTGTCCATACATTTCTTTTTTCAGAGGTGTGGATTTGTGGGGGCAAGGTGATGAGAAGAGTTTTGCAAGCAAAACTATCCAAGCAGAAGTCCTTGGAGGGGTGGCTCTTAATCCCACGGAAGTGGATGCAAGATTTGTCCAAGACAGCGGTGCCTGGAACAACCATAGTACCTTGTTCTTACACAGCATTGTTCATCAGTAGCTCTCTGGGCTTTACAAAGGAAGCATCATCATTCATGTTATATTGGTGGGGAAACCAAGGCACAGGTAAGTGAAAACATTTTCTCCTGCAAGGGGAAGGACTAGAACGCAGGTGGCCTGACTCCCAAGCCAGCACTCTAATCACTACTCTATGGATTTATAAATGCCCCCCAAGATATCGCAAGCATGTGATGAATTCTGCAGTGTACCAGACCTGTCCATAGCTTAGGGGAAGACATAAGTGCCCTCAGGGGAGGCCTCTGATATATTTCACACCTTTCTTTTTCTGAGTATCTCCAAAACTGAACAACCCTTTTTCCAGAAACACTCCTGAGCACTTTATCTCACTAGGGAAATCTGTCATTTCTAAGCCAGTTTTTCTTTTAGAAATACGTGCCAAAAATGTTTTCTGTAAGACCCTTATCTCAGAAACGGTTTGCAAGATTGCCAGAAATGTCTCATCCAGCCACAACCCACACCTGCAAAATGTAAAGTGTGCACACAACCTTTTTTTAAAGGACTAATGAGGCGTAGATAATGGAGCCCTTGTTCTAACTATGACCATAGAACTGTCACTATAGCTTTAAAAGGAAAAGAACATTCACAGAGCAAAACTCTCACTCCACAATATAAAGCCATACTCCACTCTCACTTAAATTGATGTCAATCCAGAGTAATTTGGTTGATATATCAGTATGGTCAGGCGTGATTCACATTGGTAGCAGCAATAGCAGAACTTGACCCAAGCCCTGTATCAAATTGATGAGGATAGAATACTGAATACAAAGGGGCCGAGAAGGCAAGACAGAGAGAAACCTTTCATTTCAACAACTGTAGCAACAATGTTCTGCTTTCACTTTATGGGAAATTACTTTCACCTTCCGAGAAACCCAACACTAACGTCTCTACAGACGCAGATAGCAGATCAAGAGATATCCGAACTCTCTGTCATTTCCAATGAGCACTTCAGCCAGTGCACTGGACTGTCTGGGACACTGAATGTTATCTCCAGGAAAAGTGGCAACAGTTTGGAAAATATCCCCTCTCAGGCAGACTCCTGTATGGAAATGAAACCATCCTGCCTAGACTGTCCCTCGCAGGCCAGAGAACATGATTGCAAAAACACTGCAGCACCAAATCACCTGGAAAAATTCCCCCCTTGTGCAATGTT